TGTAATCTCTCCCAGGGATCCATTATTCTATACATAAACCATCTGAATCCCTTGATTAGATCTAGTCTGTAATCACTCTCAGGTTTCCATTATTCTATATATAAACCGTCTGAACCCCTGGATTAGATTCCAGTCTGTAATCGCTCCCAGGGATCCATTATTCTACATATAAACCCTCAGAGCCCCTTGGTTGGATTGCACTGACCTGGCCTGTCTCATTGTGTTACTGTCTGCCTGTGTTTGATTGTGATGTGTAAGAGTCCTCAGCGACAGCGTAACCTGGTGTTACTGTGTTATTCCCCCCTGCCCCGACCCGACCCGACCCTGCAGCTGAAGGAGCAGCGGGAGAAGGAGCGCCGGTTGAAGAAGGCCCGGACCGGCAGCGTTTCGGAGGAGGTCGGAGAGTTTGATGACTTGGTGTCGGCTCTGCGCTCTGGCGAGGTCTTCGACAAGGACCTGTCGAAGCTGAAGCGAAACCGCAAGCGGGTCGGCAACCAGCTGGCAGACAGTGGCAGGGAGCGGGCAGTGACGAAGCTCAATTACTGAAGGGACTGGCTGCCACCCATCGAGCGCACCCTTGGGGGGGGGTGGGGGCGGGGGCGGGGGAAACACTCAACGCCCAGACGCTAAGTGTCAGCGTGCACGGTTATCAGGAACGGCATGGCGGGGGGGGGGTGGATTCCCATTACCCGACACCCATCTCCCCACTTCCCCCCCTAAGCTGCAACACCTCGGTGGCCCAGAGATGGAGAGAAGATAAAAATGAAACCCAGGACCTTTCTTTTGCTCTCACCAACCAGAAACAGTTCAAAACCCCCTCAGTCTCTCTCTCTGTCTCTCTCTCTAGCTCCGCCTGCCATCTCTTCACTGTTAAGAGAGTGAGGGTGAAAATGGGGCCCAGTCTCCCAAGTGCCTGTGTATGTTGCACTTCTGTCACCAGCCGCTGGGGCCTACCCTTCCCAAAAGCAGGGCACTCTCTACACCGGCAGCATCCAATGGGACACGAAAGCAGGAACACTTCAGTGGGTCAGAGACTGAGAAGAAAAGCCATGATGCTTTGCCGTTGCTGTCACCCTGACTTCTTTTCAGTTTTATTTTCGGCCCCACCCTCTTGTCCACAGGCGTCAAACTATTCACTCTCTCCAGTGGTGCCAACGGTGGTGGGACCTCACTAGCAAATGCCCTTTCCTGGTGCGCCAATCCATATCTCCTGCCCTCGCCTGTTCCCTCAGCTCCCAGTTTAACCAACTTGGCGGCATGCAAGTGCGCATTGGAAAATCGTGGGACTTAGTGAAGTCAAGTGAAAATTGACTGTGAGCACAGAGGAGTAGCATAACTGTGCTGACCATCTGATTCCCACCGCTTTGGACATCAGAGAAAACATTATGTCAACCACAAAAAATAAGGACAGTATTAAATGCAGTCTGTGACTCTCAGCACTGATGGTCACCTGAGCACATATACATGGTAACAGAAACTAGATAACCACAGCAAAAATATCTGGGCCTATATTGTGCAATAATTTTTCTTTAAGCTTATATAGATATATGTATAATGTTAAAGTTTTACTTTGAAAGAAGAAAGTTAGTCCTTTCAAAGAGTAGACTCGTCGCATCCAATGTGACTAAAATGAGCATGGTCAATTCATTCAGGCCTTTTCCTAACCAGCACCCCTTGGGCAACTATACCTCTCGCCACATCTACAGCCCCCTTAATGTCCAAATGGACCCAGCTTCTCCAGTCATGTTCAGATAAGGGGAAGAAAGCATTCTTAACAAACCGCATCAAATGCCAGCAAGATAAAACTTTCCTTTTAGAAAGAAAGTTTCAACAAGACCCTGTTTAGGCCCTGAAACTCATGCCTAAAGTGGGCTACTAATTCCTGTTTGTTTCAAGTCTCAAGGAGGGAGAAAGAAAAACAAAAGAAGCACATAAATGAAACGACAGATTTTCTTCCTTGTTTTGAGATCCAGCACACCCTTCACAGGGCAGCAGGGAAAGAGGTACAATTTTTCTCCAGTATCTACCACATGAACTTTGCCAAGCCTTTAGTCCATTCCCGTTTCCCCAAGATGGGGATATAAGAGCTATTGTCTACACTATGTTAATGCAGCAAGCCAATGGCCTGTTTAGTAAATGTAGCACTATATTATAGACATGTATTGTTTTTAAGGTTGTATTGAGTTGTATGCACAGATAAAGTGGAATGATTTCAGCTTCAGGACAATGAAGGAATAGAAGTTTGCAGCAAAACGGATCTGCATTATTTCATCCACTTTGAAAGGGTTTTATGAAAGTAGAAAGAGGGTCTGAGCTCGTACAAGGCAGGACAAGACTGTAGACCTGTAGGTGCTCTTCAATCACCAGAAATGTTCTCTGGGGAGATTTTCCCCTCCAGCCATCAGTGAAAGCTGAACAACTGCAAAACTGGCATGTTGATTTAAGAAATGAATGCTTAGGAAGTATTTAAGGCCAATTCTGTCCATTTAGCCAAAGGCAAACATTTTTCTTAGAAATGCTTTTTGGACCACACTACTTAGCAAGACTGTAAAACATCATGGACTAACAGTCTGACCGTGCCATGGCCTGTAGTGTGTGTATCTTCCTTCTATATCACACTGAGGGTAGTGATGTGTGAGACAGCCAGCATACTGCCCTGAGGTCCATACTGAATGGGGCTTTGGTGCCATCCACTCTAGCTGAGGCCATTTGGGTGAGGTCACCAAACTATCCACCATATGAGGCCTTTGGCCTCTTTGCTGCAGCATTAACTTGATAGCTCCATGTTGATGTGTCTTAAGTGCCAACCAAAGATGGGAACCAAGTTGATGCTCTGCCTTAGACTCAGTAACTCAGGAGCCATAATAGTCCACAATCCCCAGGGTAGTGTTGAAGGAGCTATTCCTTGGGAAACTATGGTCTTTTATCCCCTAGCTTCTGTAGGCCAGTGCCTGAACAGCTGACTAGGCAGTAGGAACCTCACCGCAGTTCGAATGGGTTAGAGTTCAATCACATCACTGCAGGTTTATGACTGGTACCCAGGCTTACCATAAAGGCTTGAATCACTGGCTTGTGTTGCACTAGTTAGACACAGTGATCAGGAAACAACACTGAATCTTAACACCATCTTGGCAAGGCAGTGCAAAGCAAGCCCTGGTTCCCACCTCCGAATTACTCTCCCAGCTAAGAACGCACATAATGTCAGCGCTGACTGAGGATGGGACAATGATTCCTTTCACAGGTGATTGGAGTGTCAGTACCACACGTGAAGAATTTCCATTTTGCTTGAGGTACTCAAAGCTTAGCAATACTGGTGGAACTAATCCGCAGCACAGTTTACTTACTTGAGAAAGAGGGGTTCAGAAAACTGTAAAGAGGTGACATAAGAAAAGGTTTCCCAAGACCTATACTGCCCATGTTAACTTTATGAAGCGTGTGCCTTACAGGCAAGAAACATCTAATAGAATGGCATAACACAGCACTGAAGGAGACTCACCAGGTCTGTTAGTCCCAATCTCCTGCTCCTTTCAGTGCTGGACATTGTCCTTTGGAAGTTTTTATCCAATTCCCCTTTTTGAAAGTTACTGTCAAACCTGCTTGCACCATACTTCAGGCAGTGAAATACATAGCAACATATCACCAAACGCAGCAAGATCTGGACAATATCCAGGCTTGTGCTGAAGAGTAGCGAGCAATATCCGTGAATCATAACTGCCAGGCAATGACCATTCGCAGTAACAGACAATCTAATGTTATGGAACAGACGAACCCCCCTCAAAATATATTAAGACAGCCTAGACCCTAACTTTTTCTTATTTTAATATGTGTAAGGCGCTACATTCCTGATGCAATTCGAATTTTCAAACTACTCGAGTTAAAGCAAAACACGTTATTTTTACACAACAGTTAAAATACAGACAAAATAAAAAGAAAAGAATTGGCTTAAGTGCAACTCTATCGAAATGCTTAACAAAATAGTATATAACTTCTAATTCTTATCAACTGTTCCAATATAGTAACATCCCATAAACACACCATTGGCAAAGGCATGTTCAGTAAAATTGATTGTCTCACATGCAATCGAGCAGCAGAAAGAGAATGCCAGCCTTTAGTTGTAACAGAGAGAGGACTAAGAGCTTCCACATCCAGCTTCAAGACCCCAGCAACTGCTGAAGGCTCAGCTGAAAAATCCTGGCTCTGCGAGAGCTTGACCCCACCCATCCAGGCTGCTTCTATTGTTCCAACTTTAAAACAAAACCCAAGGCCTCACAAGCTGTTTGCTTTATTGGCTTTGAGTGGATCGCTTGACACCTCCCTTCATAAAAAGTATCGTCACACCTCACCCTTAAAAAAAACAGAACCATCAAATACAAAGATGGCTTCATTTTTAAAAACCATTAGCCTTAAGCTATTAGGACAGTACAATGTACATACATTACATTGACTCTTAAGCATGCAAACATTCACCACTATAGTCCATTTCAATCCATTTTCTCCTGCCACTGAATGCCTCCATCTTCCTTCATCGAAGTCTCAACATTGCATCGGCAATTAGGTTCTCTCATCCTGCCATGTGTATCATTTTCAAATTGAATGGCTGCAATACTAAGCTCCATCTAAACAGTGTGGAATTTTTATCCTTAAATTTTCCCAAAAACTTTAAAGCAGTTATAATCAGTATATACAATTGTCCCAGATACATTACTGACAATATAAATGTTGAAATGCTGCAACTTCAACACTAAACTCAAGGCCCCCTTCTCAATTGTGGAATATTTCTATTGATGATTATTCAGTTTTTTGGAAAAATAGTCAATAGGTCTTTCTATCTTCTCGTCGTCTTCTTGCAAAAGTACAGGACCAGCACATCACTTGCATCGATAGCCATCTTTGCATAATTAGGTGCGGCTAACACTGATGCAGTAATTAACACAGCTTTCAAGTTGTCAAATGCCTTCTGACATTTCTCCATCCACTGAAATTTTCTGCACTTGTCAGTCAGTAAAGCAACCACACCGCTAAAATTTGGTACAAACCTCCAATAAGAATCACTCAATCCCAGGAATTATAGTACTGCCCTCTTTGTCAGTGATATCGGAAGTTCCTCAATAACCTTTGTTTTACATCGCCTGGGGCCATCTATCCATGCCCAATAACATGGCCCAGGAATGTAACTTAGGCTTTTATAGACTGACTCTTAGCCAGGTTTATCATCAAGACCACCTCCTGAGGTCAATCAAACAATTCTGATAGATACCCTAAATGTTCCTTCCATGTGTGTCTGAAACAATTGGGTAATCCCGAAATGACTTTATTGGTTAGGTTTGAAATGTGGTTGGTGCATTTTTCATACCAAACAGCATGACTTTAAACTGGTACAGGCCATTTTGCATCACAAAAGCTGAAATTCCCTCCACTGTTTCGGATAAAGGTACTTCCCTAAAGCCTGTCCATCATTTACAAGGCACAAGCCAGGAGTGTGATGGAACGCTCCGCACTTGCCTGGATGAGTGCAGCCCCAACAACACTCAAGAAGCTTGACACCATCCAGGACAAAGCAGCCCGCTTGATTGGCACCA